AAGCCACTGGACTGTCCTTGTGCCCCAGGAACACTCCTGCAGCCCTGCCACTGAGTGCTGGGAGCCACAGTGGGTCCAAACTCCTGCCTGTCTCTGCCAGTCACCTGCCCCTACCCTTGCAGGTGCAGCTGCAGCAAGCCCAAGGGCCATTCCAGCTCACCGAGAGCTTCTCTGAAGTGGTGCAGATCCCCCTGGACCGCCTGCGCAGGGCTTCCCCCTACGCCTCCCACCGTGCCAGCCTAAGCCCTTTGTCCCCAGGGGCCAGGAGCAGCCCCGAGGCAGCGCCTGGTGGCGACGAGGGCGAGGAGCCTGCCACAGCCCTGCAGCCCAGCTCACCCCCATCCCACAGCACTTGCTCTGAGGTGCCCAGCGCAGCCGTCTGGGCGCAGGCAGACAGCGGGCACGGCTCTGAGTCCGATACCTGCCCACACTCAGCTGCTCCCTCAGAGGCTGGTGTGAGCTGTCAGGATGTGGGGCTAGAGGACCTGGAGAGTGCCAGCTGGGCCACGGCGGTGGCCTTGGCATGGCTGGAGCATCGCTGTGCTGGATTCTTTGAGGAGTGGGAGCTGGTGGCGGCCAAGGCTGATGCGTGGCGGCGACTGCCCGAGGGGGTGGCCGTGGGCTGCCTCAAAGGGGCAGCCAGGCACTTGTTCCTGCTGCTGCGTCACTGGGACGAGAACATCAAACTGAACATGCTGTGCTACAACCCCAACAACGTCTGATGGCTGCCCGAGGGGCCAATAAAGATGCCTGGCTCCATGCCACCTTCACCGGAGTCTCTGTTACAGGCAGTGAGCCACCGGTGCCATTCAGGCCATGCCAGGGCTCACTAGAGCTCTGGGAGGGGAGTCACCCCCTTCCCAGCCATCTCCCGTGGGAGAGAGGAGGGGGGAAAAGGAAAAGTTGTGCTGAAGGGATCCCTGGGCTTCATCAAGGCAATTCACACCTTGAGGCAAAGCGGTTTTGCAGATCCTGTTTTAACCTCACCCCAGAGGCTGCTCCCCTGCCCTGGGCAGCACTCTTCAAGGGCAGGGAAGGAAGTGCCTGTGGCGCTGGCAGCTGCTCTGCCTCCCCCTACATGAAGCAGGTTCAGGGTTGGCTGTCCTGACAGCGTCACAGCACGAGGATGCTGGGGAAGGGCATGCAATGCCCCCTTTATTGGGGAAGTCCTGCCTGTTGGGGGTCCCCAGGCCTGCCTTCTTTGCACAGTTCCAGGGCTTGTGGCCCTCCTGAGATGGCTGTGAGCAGCTTGGGAGCCAGCTGGGGAAAGAGCAGGCAGAAGGGGCAGTTCCAAAGGCCAGTTCCCACCATCCAGCCATCTGCACTCTCACTGGGCTTTCTTGGACGTGGCTGCAGGTTTTCTGCTCGGTGCAGGCGTGGGGCCTGTGCCGTACCAGAGCTGGAGCAGGATGAGTCCATGGCAGATGTGTAGGGAGAGGGAGCTGCAGACTGTGGAGGGGTAGGTGTTCCAGCAGAGCTCAATCACACCCAGCAGCAGCACCCTGCAGGGGGGAAAGCCGGGGGTCAGCATGGGGGACACACACCAGCCACCCTCGCTCCCAGACCCTCGGCAGATGGGTGGTCCCCCTCCCTGGCAGCACCTACTTGGGCATGTGGGCAAGCTTGGTGGTTGGGGTGCACCACAGTAAGTAGGGCAGCGTGTGGAAATACCAGACATAAAACTGGTAGTGCAGGGAGCGGCTGCAGCAGACGCCCAAGAAGTTGGAGGAGAAGAGGACGAAGATGATCTGTGCACTGGCATTAAGGGGACAAACACAGGAGGCTGGAGGTGTGAGCCCACAACAGCTCCCCAGCCATGCAGCACAGTTCCTTTCCCCAAGACAGGCTAGACCTGACAGCACTGCAGGAGCCTGACCAAGGTCCTCCCAGCCTTCTCCCCACTCCCTGCTGCCCACCCTGCCAAAGGATATTGTTGATGGTCAAGGGTGGGGATGCAGGTTTCCTTCTGGCAGGATTCTTCAGCAGAGTCAGGATGTTCCCTTTGGAACTGAGGGGAAAACACAAACATCAATCTCAGCTCCTGAAGTCTCTCCCACCCTGACCTTCCCGTGACCGACAATGCCTGGGCAGCATGTTCCCCGAAACAGAACAGTAACTCCCCCCACTCCTGCCTGCAACCCCAGGACTGCAGAGCTCTGGAGACAGAGGCCTCATGAGCCATATCCTGCCCTATGGGGACAGGCAGGGACCAGCACCCCTGGGGAATCCTGGGTCTCACCTGTGCCACCGGTGCAGTGCAAAGAGCCCCAGGCCAGCCAGGTGAGCCAGGAGCAGAGCAGCGTGGAAAGCTCGATTCTGGAAAACCTCTTCTGGGAGGAAGCGCCAGTTCACCGTCCATTTGAACTGGAACTGGCGACCCAGGTCGAAGGAGCGGGTCAGGTACCCCACAGGGTTCACCAGCAGGAAGGGCAGACCCAGAACCACCTACCAGGGACACACCAGCACCATCATAGTGGCTGTACACCAGCTCTCTGTCCCCCCTGCCACACTGCAAGAACCCCAGTGCCACGTGGAGCCACAGGGAAAGTCAGCCAAAGATGAAAGCCCCACGAATCAGATTATTTAAAAACCTCCAGCTTGCTGTGTGGGGACAACACAGATGCTGGTGACACTGTATCCACCCAGGGCTCTCCAGCCTGGCAGCCAGTGCAAGCAGGGACCCACCTGGAGCAGGGCACAGATGCAGAGCTTGGGGATACAGCCCAGGAGGCCAAACCGCTGCAGGAGGAGGAAGAGGAGTCCAGGTGCGAAGAGCAGGATGTTCATCTTCACGGACACAGCCAGGCTGAGTGGGAAGCCAGGTCAGCACTGCAACCCCCACACGGAAGCCTGGGCAGAGCTGAGCACAGCTTCCTCCCTGGGGCTGAGCTGGGTGACACATGCAGCATGCCAAGGAGAGCAGCTCCAGCCCCTCACCTGAAGAGAAGGCAGCCCCAGGACCAGCGCTCTTCCAGGAAGAGGTTGATGGCGAGGAAGAGGATGGCCATGGCGACAGGGTCGTTAAAGAGCCGCAGGACGAAGATGGAGTGGATGCGGTACGAGGCGCAGCACATGAAGAAGAAAACATACGGGGGGACCTTGCAGGGAACAGAGACACAAGGGTGAGCAGCTTGTCCTGTACCCCCTGCTGCCACCTCCAAAGCTCAGCCCCTAATCATATTCCCTGCCCATCTTCCTGGGGTGAGGACTCAGCGGAGCAGGAGAGGCCCCCATGGTACCTGGAGCAGGCCCTGGTCCCAGGGTACCTTGTTGGTTCGGCAGTAGATGCGGAAGACAAGGAGGAGGTTGAGGAGGTAGAGGCCAGCAAAGAGGTATTGCGCCAGGCGGATGTCGGAGCCACGGCCTGTGGCATAGTACAGCCCCAGGAAGATGTAAACGAAGCCAGCAGGGTAGCTGTGGGGAGATGGGAGTGAGGGGCCAGGTCCTGCAGCCCCCCAGGGAGCCCCTGGTCATGGGGAGCTGGGTGTCCCTGTCACTCACACCAGCGGCCCAGTGTCACCCTTCAGCTGGGTGTAGTCGAGGGTCCCGTTGGCAAACCCCTCCACCTCCTGCATGTAGGCCTTCCAGTCGATCTCGGTGTCTGAGGGGACAGTGGGGGTCAGGTGAGGTAAGACGGGCTGGGGAGCACTGCAGGGGCGTGGGGGCTTCCCCACCTCCAGGACCCCCAGCCTGGCCCAGTGCCTCCCTGTTGTGCTGTTAGCCCAGGCTCTGTCCCACCCTCCGCCCCATCCAGGACCCTCATTCCACCCTGCTGTAAAAAAAATCCACCCGTGGCCCTCATCCAGGACCCCCAGCCCACCTGTCCCTCCCCTGTCCCATCCCCCAGCCCATCCCTATGTCCCCCTTGACCTAT